CTGGGCAATGGTTCATCCGCCAATCATCCATCCCCATTCACTATACTATTATCGGCATTCACTCTGCTTATACACAGATACACGGGGGATGAAGATATTACCGTTGGGTCCTCATCAGACTCGCGCAATCCGCTTGTCCTCCGAATTCCAGTAACATCGAGTGATACTTTTGAACGCTTGATAGAGAGAGTACAACAAGTGGAATTGGAAGCGTCAACTGATGAAGTGCCGTTTTCGCTTTTATTATCAACACTTTATCCTGGGCATGATACCTCTTCTGCTGTCGACAATTCATCTCATAAAACGTATCCACCTCTATTTAAAGTACGTTTTTTCAATCAGAGTGATACGCCGGACAATCATCTACTCCAAGCAACTTCAACTACAACCGATATAACGATATTCATTACTTCTCACGCATCAACTTCACTAAGACAGACTCTACTTCCTAAAATAGAACTTCGCATATCATATAATCAACTTTTATTCTCTTCCTCACGTGTGCGTCACATTCTCGATCAATTAGTTTCTGTAATTGATCATGCTCATAATAACAAGCAGACGCCGATCTCGGAAATTCCTCTCGTCACAGACAGATGTCGGGCAGTTTTGCCTGACCCTGTTTGCGATTTGCGATGGGATGAGTTTAGAGGATCGATTACTGACATATTTGCTGAAAATGCCAAGAAATTTTCAAAGAAGACATGCGTTGTGGAGTCTGTCGAGGGGAGCGAGAAGAAGAGAATTTTTACTTACGAGGATATATATAAAGCTTCTAATTTGGTAGCACAGTATTTGCTACATAAGGGAGTCGAGAGAGAGGATGTTGTTACGGTATATGCATATAGAGGCGTAGACTTGGTGATTGCTGTTATGGGTGTACTTAAAGCAGGGGCTACGTTTAGTGTTATTGGTGAGTATTACAAGAACAGGAGCTGGGCTAAGGAAGAAGAGGCAAGCAACGTAGAATGAGCGTGAATAAATGGCGTGAGGGTATATTGAAGAATGCGCATATCATAATAATCTACTATTGTATAACCATCATAGACCCAGCCTACCCACCAGAGCGGCAGAATATCTATCTACAAGTGGCGCAACCACGCGCCATCATATTTCTCAAACATGCAGGTGTCATTCATCCATCAGTTTGCACATACATCACTGCTAATCTCAATCTCAAGTGTGAAATACCGGCATTAGAGATCACTGACGACGCGTACTTGAAAGGAGGATCACATGCGGATGCTGAAGACGTTTTGGATGCAATAAGAGGGCGAGAAGAAGAAGACGTCGGAATTCTTATTGGGCCGGATAGCATTGGGACGCTAAGCTTTACCAGCGGGAGCACGGGAATACCCAAAGGTAAATAGGGAATTTATGCATTAAGACGTCAATCGTCGCATTTGTAATCACAACCATGAAGATAACGATGCTGTACAGTTAACATTCTTATCATTGGCTCTATTGTTAATTATTGTTGTTACAAAAGGCGTTAGAGGAAGACATTTTTCCTTGACTCATTACTATCCATGGATGTCGCAAGAATTCAATCTCAGTGAAAATGATCGCTTTACCATGCTGTCTGGCATTGCACATGATCCAATTCAGCGGGACAGTACGTATTATTAACACAAATGTTCACATCATACCAGCTGCAGTAACACTCATTTATCATGCAATCTTATCCAAATAACAAGTCTTTACGCCACTTTTCCTTGGGGCTGAACTTCACGTTCCAACCGCCGAAGACATTGGAACACCCGGACAACTAGCAGTATGGATGAGCAAAAACGAACTAACTGTGACACATCTAACACCCGGTACCTAGCGTTTCCCACACGATTCGCCCATCCACTCTTTCGTTCTGTAATGTTAATTCCTTTCCTTATTACTACTTTTAAAAAAGCAATGGGTCAACTTTTATCTGCAAACGCCATGGTCCCAATCCCAACCCTCCGTAACGCTTTCTTCGTCGGCGATATTCTCACAAAACGCGATTGCAACCGTTTGCAACATCTTGCTCCAAACACTACTATCATCAACATGTACGGTACAACCGAAACGCAACGCTCGGTATCCTACTTCTCGATCCCGCCTCTCTCTGTCGCTCCTGCATTCTTGCAGTCACAAAAAGATGTCATACCGGCCGGCAAAGGGATGCAGAATGTGCAATTATTGGTAGTGAATAGAAAGAAGAGAAATTTATTGTGTGGAGTGGGCGAAATAGGCGAAATATATGTTCGAGCAGGTGGATTGGCTGAGGGTTATTTGAGGTTAGAGGACGTGACGAGAGAAAAGTTTTTATGGAATTGGTTTACGAGCGAAGAGCAAAGACATGAGGAAGACGGGGAGTCGATAAAGTGTTGGAAAGGGAAAAGAGATCGGCTGTATCGAACTGGGGATTTAGGAAGATATAATCCTAGTGGAAATGGTAAGACTATAACGATGCGGTAAAATGTTAGGGTTCGATTTTAAAATGAGCACGTCTCGTTCATGTCAACATTTTTTCCTAAAATTCTTTATTTCTGAAAGTGGAATGCACGGGCCGCGCGGACGATCAAATAAAAATTCGAGGTTTTCGTATCGAACTCGGTGAAATAGACACTCATCTTTCCCAACACCCTCTTGTCCGGGAGAATGTCACGCTTGTTCGCCGAGACAAGGACGAAGAACAAACTCTTGTCAGTTATTTCGTACCCGTGGAATCAGGAGAGATTGACACTTTCTTAAGTTCAGCGGACGAGGAAGACAGTAATGATGCATCATTGGTTAGTATAAGAGTGATACGAAAATACAGGAAACTGATTAAAGATATTAGAGATTATTTAAAGCAAAAACTGCCTAGCTATAGTGTTCCCACCGGTAAGTGCTAGTTGTGACATTGTACGGAACGTTGTAAAACCATGTTACTTACTTTAACATTTCAATATCATAGTTTTTGTGCCATTGCGCAAAATGCCACTAACCCCAAACGGGAAAATAGACAAACCAGCGCTTCCCTTTCCGGATACCGCTCAAATTGCCGAAAAGGCAATTTCCGACAACCAGCATCAGCTCACACCAATACAACGCACGGTGTGCAAAATTTGGTCACGCCTTCTCCCCCACGCTTCCTCACAATCTCTTCCCCTCGATGAATCGTTCTTTGATTTGGGCGGACATTCGATTCTGGCTACCAGACTAATATTTGAATTGCGTAAGGAGTGTGGTGTCAGTGTTCCTCTGGGATTAGTTTTTAGTGAAACAACAATAAGAGGGCAGGCGAGAGCGGTTGAGAGACTGATTAAGGGAGAATTGAATATTGACAGTGGTGATGTGGAAGAGGACGAAAAACGTCTAAAAAATAATATGGAAACTAATGCTAGAGAAACGTATTCAACAGAGATAACATCCGGAGCCTTCGCGGCGACCTATTTTGAAGATTTAGCCGACCTCATAACTAGCCTTCCTTCATCCTATCCTCCTCTGCCTCCAAACCATACGCGTACCGTATTTTTCCTCACTGGGGTCACTGGATTTTTGGGTGCATTTATTGTTTCCGCTCTTCTCAATTCCCGCCCTGACATACGTATCATCGCTCATGTGCGCGCTACTGATGAAAGTTCTGGATTAGAACGGATTCGGAAAAACTGTTCTGCACATTTAGTTTGGAAGGAGGAGTGGATCGAGAATGGAAGGATAGAAATTGCATTAGGCGACTTGGAAAAGGAAAGATTGGGGCTGGAAGAAGATATATGGGAGAAGTATTGTGAGATTGTAGACGTCGTTGTGCATAATGGAGCTTTGGTAAGAATTGAGGGTATTGGTAGCAGGAGGAATTTCCATGTGCCCGCGAATGAGATGATGCGAATTATACTCTTTCCTTTTAATACTAGGTCCACTGGGTCTACCCATATTCCAAACTTCGTTCTCCAAACGTCCTTGCCACCTTGTCAACCTTATCTCTCTCGACTACTACGCGCGTTAAACCGTTAGTTTTCATATCGTCGACCTCTGTTCTGGACACCGACCACTACATTCGCTTGTCGTCTACGATAATCGAATCTGGTGGTCGCGGTATTTTGGAGTCTGATGATCTCGAAGGTAGTCGAACTGATATTCACAGTGGATACGGACAGAGTAAGTGGGTGGCGGAGAAGCTATTAATGGAAGCGAGAAGTCGTGGTGCCCCAGTGGCTATCGTGCGCCCTGGATATATTGTCGGTCATTCAGAGACGGGAGTGACTAATACTGACGATTTCATATGGCGATTGGTTAAAGGATGTGTTCAATTGAAAATGGTGCCAAGTATATATAACATCATTAATATGTGTCCCGTTGATTACGTTGCTGAGTGTGTAAAAGATATCGCGATCAGTCCTAATGCTCATAATTTGGGTGTATTCCATATTACACATCCATCTGATCCACCATTTCGCTTTATCGATTTGTTTTCTGCTCTTTCTTTGTATGGTTATGAAGTGCAGCAAATCGAATATGTAGCATGGAGGGATCGCTTAATGGAGTTCACTCTTCAGGCGGATGACAATGCACTTTATCCTCTGCTTCATTTTGTGTTGGATGATCTACCAACTTCGACAAAGGCGCCCGAATTAGACGACAGTAATACTCGAGCTGTAGCTAGCAAACAATGCGAAAGGATGGGAGAAAACTTGATGGGGCTGTATTTAGGATATTTGGTGAAAGTAGGATTTTTGGAGGGTCCCAAGTGGAGTGAAGGGAAGATGTTGCCCAGCGTAAGAGTAGGGGATATGTTGAGTAGAAGTAGGACATAGGTTGATAAAAGTAAGTGTATACTTGTAATTATTCGATTAACTTTGTGATTAATGATTTTTAGAAATAAATGATCTTGGCATTCATGACCCAAAAGATGATATCCGCAGTAAATCAACTATGGTTCTTTATTGGTTGAAGCGCCAAATATAAATAGCTAATAATGCAAACTAAAATTTTCGTTCTTTCCTCTTTTCCAACCACCTAAACTGCACGATGTCGGGAAGACAAGGTATTTAGCTTGGTATGCAGTCTTTAGAATTCTAATAATTATATAATGACGCATGTCTCATCTTCAGGCGGTAAGCTGAAACCTATTAAAAAGCCAAAGAAACAAAACAAAGAGCTCGACGAGGTGAAAAAAAACCCCCTGCACTATTTATGGTCCACCACAATGTAAAGCGGCACGAGAAGTCTCTATTGATACCTTTTTTTTTAAACGAAAAGACTGATTTAGAATTTAAGAAAAAGAAAGCCGAAGAAGAAAAGAAAAAAAAGGAGCTTGCGGCGAAAGCAGCAGGAAAAGGGCCTCTTGGTTAGTATACACAAATACAGCAGCAAAATTTTTTCCTTTCCCTATCATTCGTGAAATTAACGTTTATTATAATTTTATAAAGTTGGTGGTGGCATTAAGAAATCTGGAAAGAAATAGATGCTACAATAATAGCGTAGCAATCATTATCGTTATTTAACGTGATAAAAACCAATTTCACGCATGCGAAGACAGTAGTAACTCTGAACGAAATATTTATACCAAAGGGAACAATTTCGCTGCTGTGTCATAATAATGTCATGGTTTTTATTGAAACCACATGGCGAACCAAGTCTTTAGGATTCATAATAATGACCAAATAAACAAGGATCTTAATATATTCATCAATTGCGACATTTTCCACCTATAGTAATGGTACTAGGATCCGACATATCCGACTCACGTCTTGTGCGATGTGTCAAATTTATTAACAAAGTTTAGGGGGTAATTGTAAAGTCTGATAACGGTTCGAGGACAAAGTCTGCGAATGTCATTCTTTTGTGGGCAGGAAATGTGAATTCCTTTACATTCTTCTTTTCTAACAAGTCGAAGCTGCTATTTCACCGTTTCAGCCGAATGAAATGGAACTGGCTTTTAATTTAAAACTGAGAACGTCATTGGAGACTTTAGACGTGAGTGCACCATTGATATTAATTGCCACTGGACCATTTGATGTTAGATTCAGCGATTGAAGAATTAGATTAAAGAAACGATGATAATTAAAAAATGTCGGCGCTTATAACTATGCCTTTATTGTTTGACATATCCAAATGAACTCATTTATTCTATTACAGAGAAATATAGAATTCGCAATATAGACTATAACAGGCTTTACCGTGTACTAATATCTCCGTCCTCTCTTTCCTGTACTAATTCTCGTTGCAAGGTTGAGAATTTTGACGGTTAAATAATGCAGCAAGACATCCTCGTATATTAATATGCTGTTGTTTAATTCCTTGCTCATAATGGGTCGACTATTTAATTAAATCTATCCGTATTCAAGGAAAGGTCATGCAAAAAAAACGGTTTCAAAAAAAAGCCGATATTAACAGAGTTAAAGGTACCTACACTTATTGTTTGTTTAAAGCAATTGTATTATATAATAATGGTCTCTGCAAATTCGGATGCATTTGACTGCAGAACAAGATATCGATGTTGTATTGCTTCGCTATCATTCTAATCGGCGCTATTCATCCAACAGCAATTCTATGATTGGAAAAACACATTAACATACGCTAACACATGCAAAACAAGCCAAATTATCGTGGCTGTGCTGCACCACGACGCACAGCACAATCATGTCCAATTGTACACAGTGCGCTCTTTATAGTGGACCTCTTTATAGTGGAGACTACAATAAATTCTATCCGAT